CATTTATTTCGTTAGTTTATTATTCTATAGGTTAATTATTAAAAAGATTTTCAGTTTTATTTTAGTTAATTTAGTATAAGGTATAACAATAATGTACGATGTATCTTGTATCTAGTGAGTTAACTTCCTTCTCTCAATAACTTATAAAACTTCAGTTGTCTTACATTTATACATTATAATTTATAATTAATAGTCATAAAATGGAAAAAATAAAAATCCATTTCCGAGTAAACCTAGAAAATAAGCATACAATAATACTATGTACAAACAAACTACAAAGTATAGATTTAAAAATTTAAATCGAGCTGCCAGACGTATTTATTTTCTTCCAGTAATATTTCAAACGCATAAAAAATAGTGGTTGGTCCACTCATAAAACTATATAACTCGTAAAACTTTACCAATGATTTTTGTATAATAGACTTTAAAAAATCTTTTATAATCAATGATACTAATATACTATATACTTATACTTTTAACTCTTCGAAAACAAAACAAAACAAAATTTAATTTATATTTTAATATAAAAATATTATAATCACAGGTTATAATCTGTGATATAGTATTGTACAGTGTATCAAAAGTCTTCATCCTATTTCAAAAATTTATATTAATTTAAAAATTAAAATGTAAGAATGAAATAAAGTAAAATTTATTCTTAAAATAGGTAAGTTTTATTTATCAGTCAAGCATTAATGCATGGGTCGCTAACTTGCGATTAACCGTTGCCGAACTATATCAGTTGGTATTCGGATGAAGACTTTTGAAACACTCTGTATAATGTATATTGTTTTATTAAATAAGTCATTAATAAACCAAAGAAAATTTGTTTGAAATGTTCATCCGTTGTCCGATGCATCCGTGCATACGATACACCTACTATAATATTATATAAATTATAATAGGTAGTAGTATATAGTTTATGTATATTGTATGGGTACCTATTAATATTATACCTAGTACTAACTATTTTACTATTCTACTATTAAAACTATATAGTATCATGATGGTAAAAAAAAAATATTTATTTGGGTATAACATAATTATGTGGAATTTAATTTTGTCTTTTCAACATTACAAATAAGTAGTAATACGATAATAAATTAATTTGTTCACTGGAAATTATTTGATATCACGATTCACAAAATTACATTTAATTATTATTACTTTCAGGTATTGAGTAATATATTATTTATTTTATTGGTAATAATAAAAATAATAATAATAAGAATTCAATACAAATTAATATTTAATACCAACCCCGAACCCGTGCCCATGTTATTAGTGAGGCCGTGAGGGGGTACAAAGGGGGTGACATATTTTTCTGGATGGACATTTTAAATACGAAACAACCTCGAAAACAACAGAAAGTTTTTTAGTTTTCAAATTTACAATAATTATTAGCAATAGTTTAAGTTAAGTTTTTTACTATAAGCTAATACTTATTAGTTTCTGAGCGGAGCGATTTAATGTACCTACTGATTTTACAATGATGTGTTTTTATTGTCCGCCTTTAAAATTTCAAATGGTTGTTTTCAATTATGTACGATAAAAAATGTTTCACTGGGTAAAAGTTAAAAGAGCTTGAAAATTTAATACAAGGTTCCTCATAAGTCATAACTTGTTTTGATAACAGTTCAAAAACATTAACGATACAGTCACGATTGTGACTATTTTTTAAATGCATTTAAAGTTCAAATGTTGACAAAATTCATCAAAATCCCGAAAATGTGCAAACTATATTCAGTTGGAAATTCATAAACGTTTTTCGTTTCATTGCTAATATGTGAACTCTATGGAAGATTTGTAATAAGTTTTTTTACCTTTAAGGCCGGGGCTATACACGGGCACACGGCGTATTCCGCATCGTTTATCGCGGCATTTTCCGTCGAATTAAAAAAGCGTTGGTTTAAATCGGAGCAGCTATACAAAAGCCGACCGTCGTTTTTTGCCGCCGCGAATTACACCCGTCTTGTATAGCTGCTCCGATTTAAACCAATGAGTTTTTAATTCGACGGAAAACGCCGCGAAAAAGGATGCGGAATACGCCATATATAGCCCCACCCTAACAAACAAAAATTTACAACGGAAAGTAACGTTACAAATAGAGTTAAATAGCAAAAATTATTTTTTTTAATACACTCGCCATCACTGCTCAAAATAGTTTTTCCGTATACAAAGATTTACCATTGAATTCAAATCTAACATAATATCTATTCCAATTTCCAACTACTGCAGAGAGGTAATCACTACTTACTATAGTACACCTTTTTTTTCATATAATATGATACCTTATCCCACCTCAAAAAACACGTTTCCGTCATGGTGGTACAAAAAATAACCATCCTTCTAAAATTATTTTTCCCAGTTACTAAAAACTATTTCTCATCAATAATTTATATAAGATATAAAAATTATTAATATATTATCATGACATAAATATTATATTTGTTTCAGAATAAAACAGTAATCAATTATTTTCAACTTATTATTAGCTGTTTTCCCTTTTTTTTCTAGCGACCGGCAAGACGTGGCAACTCATACTTTTGTTTTGTTTATATTATTTTGGTCTGTCATCGGTATATAACTTATAAATATGGACGATATTATAAATGTATAATATAATACGACAATACGTATTGATAGAAAGACCACCGACCATATTGCATAGTATATTAGTATAATAATAGAGTTTCATACAGTGCTTGTAAAATTATTTTAATATTTTATCGATAGCGGTTCGTTTGTTACGACCACGATTTAAAATAAACTCTGTCCTACCATAGATTAAATATACTATAGTATGGTCCTACTATCTTAAATCGTGGTTACGAAGTTAATTATTTAACCCACGTCTCGTCCCACAGCAACATATTAATTACCAGTGCCGGATCTAAGTCTCAGGAGGCTGGGGTGCAAACCAATTGGGGCCCATTAAATAAAAATGTTCTCGACATTACACTTACCTATTTTTTGATGCGTGTTGTCGTGTTCATATATTAAACAAACTAAAAAACACAAAATTTAAATGCCATCATTTAATATGTAAATTATGAAATTATACATTCACTCATACCTATTATACCACGCTTACCTATTATACCACATTAGATATGATGCATTAATTATTAATGTATGGATCTATGCTAGTATAATATAAATTAAAAATAAATATAATTAATATGATAATGGCTGTATATTCTCTATAGTCTATATTGTCCTAAAATGAAAGAACACAAATATGGATCAGGTACAATATTATACCTGAATCGAATACAAAATTATTCTTTAATCCTTTATATATTTTTAATTTATTGTTTTGAACATTTTTCTCCGTCATTTAGATGCACTACTTTCAAATCGTCTATTTGACATGTTTTTTTTCAAACGTCAATAAAAGATAGTGTAGGTACCTAATTTATATTTTTAATAAGCAAATTAAAAATTAATATAATACAGTAAGTACGCAAAAAATAAAACTTACAAAAGTACAAAATAACATATCCTAAGCCAAGAACAGTGCACCAAGGCATGTCCGTTAATCATAATCCGTTTATATTAAACAATAAATAAATATTATTTATATTTATGGTTATATTATGAGTTATTCCAGCAAGATACTGCACTAGCGCGGCTATTAATAAATAAATAGTACGATTATACGAAAATAGTATACGATGCATAGACGCATAGTGCATAGTAGGTATATATTAATATAATTAAAGTGGATTACACGCTAGGCGATTCGAACGCGCGTTTTGAACGTCGCGATTAATCGCCCAAAATTAAACATGTGCGTTTCGGCGCGTTCGAACGCGACCGAACGCGCGTCTCATTTACGTGTGTGAATAAGCCCATATAAAAGTATATGTTTAATTTTGGGCGATTAATCGCGACGTTCAAAACGCGCGTTCGAATCGCCTAGTGTGTAATCCACTTAACAGTGGCGTGTATCATAAAAAAAATTGGTGTTGCTCAAATAATTTTAGGTGACCTACCCCTCATAAGTCATAATACTGTTATACCGACCTATAAAATTTCCTATTTTTCTTCTATCGACTATCAATACCCACCCACTCATATTTAAGGTGTTGCCTGAGCAACACTTGGACCCCATGTTACAGGCCACTGATAATTAATGTGTATATGATAATAAATATGTGAAACAAACAATAACAGTGATAAATAGTATTATCTAAAATTCAAACCATCCAAAATAAATGGTTGTCACTTGTCAGTAACATCTTAAAATAATAAAATTTGTTTATTTTATAATACAAAGTTAGAGAAAGCTAGACATTTTAGGACTTCAACCTGAGGCCCCGAATACAACCTTGGCCTTGAGGCCCCGGCGCAAAGCACCCCCTGCACCCCTGCTAAATCCGGCACTGTTAATTACTAGCATATTAATTGCACTACAGTGTTTGGAAAATTAGTTTAAATAAATAAAATACACAGCTGGTATACCTAAATAATAACTAATATATTTAAATGTATTATATTTTATATTATGTTATTCATAATTTCATGACTTCATGTAATCCATGTAACATTTAAGAATAATTTATACTATCATATTTTATTATGAAAGCGTATTATTGCATATTATGTAGGTATACATTTAACATTTTATATGTAAGCAATTACCATTTTAATTTGCAGTATAATAGTATATTCTAAAATATATTTTATTATAATTAAGTGTTTTGATTTTCGACAATGAGTTATTGAGTTGTCTGAACTTAAGTGACTTATTGACGTCTGCGTAATACTGTGATATTATTTGAAGAAATACCATCCTATGAGTATAATTTTACTGTCTTTACTGCAATGATTCTGAATTATTTCTGATAACAATAATTATTTATTATATCCAAGTTTCTAGTGAATTGTAAAGGTAGCCAGTTGTTTTCGAGTCTATGGGCCTCAGAAAGTGACGAGTAACGACAAAAATTCAGAAAACTTTATTTGGTAAAAAAATATTGAGTATACCTAATATGTTACACTAAAATATCAATAGAATTGAAAGGTACATCAAGTTCTGATATTACAGCATTACTATACATCATAAATCATAAATATATAATAATAATTATTAGTAGATATATATTGAATCTATGATTATTAATTGTTTTGTCTAAAATACATTTCAACACCTCCTCAAAAACTTTTTTTTATATAGTATATAGTATATAATATAGTATATTAGTATATAATATATTTTACAGACTTACGACTCTATACTTTCATTTAAAGTTTCTACCACAGGATTTTCTACAGTTGAAGAATCAATCCCAGTGTAATCTGTCATCATACGTATTACGTACGTGTCCCCAACCGCCCATCCAAAGAAAATTTCAAAAGTTTCTATCCAAATATTTTGTGGGTCATTTGTATGAATTTGTTTGATGGTTCTTAGCATTTGTACGACACCAGTATTCGAGCAATATCGGAAATACTGCAGAGAGGGACTGGAGACATATATAGAAAAAACTATTTATTTTTGTTTTGTAATTTGGTGGAAGTGCGACCGTGCGTTGCTATTACGGTGTGCAGGCGAGCGCGATGGCTTAATATAGAACGATTCCAAATATCATAAATATTATTTTCTTCGTAATTATAAAATTACGATATTGTGGTGTTCTGGTGGAATGGGTCAGTGGGGGGTCGCCGACGACATCACGCAAGGCTACTTGACCTTTTTTCCACTAGGAACAGTACGCGACGGCTAGATATATTGAAGCATATAGAGTCGTAAAACATAGTTTAGGAGAATTACAAATACTCTGTCCAGAGTGGTTTTAGAGTAAAAATACCTACATCAAAAAAGAAATATAACAACATTTGTACGATAACCTCATATCCGTTTTTGATTACTTCAATTATTTCTTGATTAATTAAATGTATAAAACTCCATTTATTTTACTTTTTTTAAATAAAGGTAAGTTTTTTACTATCCACTATTTTGAAAAAAGGATATGAGGTTGTCTCCAAAATATTGTTTTCTTTAAAATTGGTTATAAGTAATTTTGCTCTAAATCCACTATAGGACGAGCAATCACTATTCTCCGTAAGGGTGTTTTTACACTTCAAAATTGGTGGTATCACGTCCTCTTAAGGAGTAATATTTACTAGGTATTAAATTTATTATTTTTCAAATTTCATGTTGACGTAGTTACAATACTAATATGACGTAGTATGTACATTTTAAAAGTGTCAATGTGTTATTCGTTGACCGTCATCGCTATTTTTGCGCCCACAAAATACGAATTCACATAAGAACGTAATTACGATAATAACCAAAATAAACAACACCGCTTGAGAATTCGTTGGAAACTCAGAAACATATTTAAATCAGGCTAAATTTTAGACTGCAGATTTATTTTTCACTATATGAAACAAAATATATATTGTTATATTTATAAATAATTGAATTAAAATAGGTAACTCTTTATATTTATTATTTTTAAATATAGTATTAGGGCACCCAGTGCCAATGTAATTTTGTACACAAAAATACGCTCAACCAGAATAATATATTTTTTTTTTTTACTAATAGAGGGTAATATTCTATAGGCAGCACTGATCTCCGTTTTTCAGTATTTTAATCTCAAACTTTATAATAATGTGTCTATTAATATGTTATAATAAGTTGTGGAAATATTATCAAAAATAAGTCGTACAGAAATAATAATGATGTTATTAAATTACGATTTTGATGGGTGGTACCTATACTGGGATTTACACTTGTCTAAAATAATATTCGAAATAATAGGAAAAATCTGGTGGTTTATTTAAATATAAATCCAGATTTATATTTATATTCGCACCACGGTCTCTTGAAATGTCTACTCTATTGTAAATTAAAAATATCATGTTATAATAAAATAAAATTATAAAACTATAATAATTTAATTATTAGATTCGAAATGTTTAGGTTTTTAAATATTATAATTACTGTGCATTTTACTGTCGGTTCAAACAGGAAAAAAAAAAAAAGTTACTGTGCATACCTATACAGCTTTAAATGATTAAACAATTTAATATGATTCGTTCAAAATGTTTTTTTTTATATTATTTCAGTATATCTGTATATTTTATAATGGTCTAGGGAATATTTATGTCCAGATGTCCTTATGCGTAGTCAATTCATGTGTCACATAAGACATAGTACCTAAATATGTCTTACATGATACACAAATTGACTATATGGTCATAATATTATATTATAATTTAATATTTAGCATATTTTTAAATATTTTTATAAATTGTGATTTGTGAGAAAAAAATACTTTTAGGCATATTTTTATTTTCAGTTAATATTTAATTTTAATTTGTGACTTACCTTCGTCCTCCTTTACAAATAAATTAATATAAAAAAATCATTTTTACTATTACTTTGTAGTGTATTCTCTTTTTAATAATTATTATTAGTTTTTCCTTTTACAAGTGTGTCTTTTTAATAAAAATAAAAATTCCGAAATTAAAGCATATTTTTCAGATAGTATTTGTATGTTTTTTTAAAGAGGATATTATAGTAATAATAAGTCTTTATTTAAGGAGTAAAGAATTTCATTTTACATAATAATTTAAATAATAAATAACAATTGTAAATAGGTTATTAATTAGTATTTGCTTTTACAAAATCAATTTGCATCATAATTTATTAATATTTTTTCGAACCTAAATATCCGGACGACCAGACTAATCTTAATATTATATTATTTCTTTCTGTCAACTTTTGACTACGTCGCGTCGTAGCTTAGCGTTGTTCTAGTGAATGCCGAATGGTGTATACTATAACTTGTATAATAGTATAATACTATAATTTATTAATTTTCTTAGTGTATTTTGTATCTATTGTTATTTGTAGATATTTGAAAATTAAAAAGTTTTGAGGTGCTTAAGAAGTTCTCATCCCCAATTATATATATATATATATGTATATAGTATTTTTTTTATACGGTTGTATAACTTAAGTATTGTACATTATATATTATTTATTATTTACAAGTTTAGGTTGGTAAGTATCTACTAGGTATAACAAATGTTTTAAAAAAATTGTAATTATAATTACGCCATTTTAATCGAAAAACGTACATGACTGAAATTTTCAGTCTCATAACAAAAGTAGAAACTAGAAATATTTTTAAAAAAATATGCACAAAAATCGGTTAGCTACGGCGCGTGACGAGTGACGACCTTCGATATAGTGTTTGCACTCTGTATCAGGTCGCTAATCATTTTTTTACAGCGTAGTTATTAAACTATGTATAAATAATCCAACTTCATTAAATTATCATAATTCCAAATCTATATCAGTTCATAAACCAAATTTTGATTTCATTATATAATTTAACTTTAAAAATGACATGACTAAAAAACGTTTAGTAAAGTAAAAAGTGTCATACTTTTTAACTGTAAGATACCACCTAATGGCTCATTAGTCATTATTATAGGTACATTTATACATTAAATTCCGCATTCGTACTATAATCTTCAGAAGTTAAACATCCGATGCCCTTGGATAAGATTATAAGTTATGAAGTCCTTACATTCAAATAATAATAAATGAAAAAAAAATGATAAATTAGGACCTTAATCATTTTAAAATGTACATGAGTTACAGGTAAAGTGTTGAATTCTATTATTTTATGAAATAACAAGGTAATGAATTAATCTTAGTTAAAGTATGAAAAAATACATGACAATTATACTTTAACTAGTTATTTCATAGAATATCTAGTTATTCTATACAATTTTGGTTTGATATCCGTTAAAGTATAAAATACATTAAAATTTTAAATATATTAAAATATTTTATTTTACTGAATTAATTGTAGTTACATTATTTGCGGCTGTTAAAATCTTCAAACACCATTGGTTTTAAAACAAAAGCTTTTTTTTTTAATTTTGTTTTTTTTGCTGGCAAGGTATACACAAATTCAAGTATTGTTTAACATCAGATTAGGTAATATTTTTATAACGTTTATATTTATTTCATATTACATGCGATCTCTACAACCGTGTTCAATAGAAATATGAATTTCATGTAAATAATGGAAAATGTCTTCAGTCATAACATATAATTTAACATTTTTATTTTGATTACTTACGGGTAGTATTAATTTTTTAATGCCGTTTATTTTTACAATATCGCAACGTTTTTCTAACAAATAGTCTCGAGAAGATTCCTTTTTTATTTAAATTTTTTTCACGTCCATCATCAAACTTGCATATTTTTCTTTCGTTAAAACTGCACTATTTGGTTATAATGAACGATTTTAACACTAATATAAGATACTGTTTTATATTAATTACTAATCAATAATATTGTCATTTGTCATAATAATAATATTTATACCTTCTTAGATCTTATAATCATTTATTTCAATTTTAAAACCAAATATAAGTAAATTTAAAATTAGGTAAATTATATACTACGTATATTTTACTTATACCCTTATTCAGTAATTGAATAGTAAAGGTGTATTATATTGACTTAATACATAAATACGACGTTTAACCTTGTTAATTATTGTAGAGCATTAGAAATTAAAGTTAAAGAAATTATAATATTTTCAAAAGTATTATTTGGCTGCTACTATAATATTATTATAATGTAGGTACCTATAGGTTAATTAATATTTTTTAACAAATAATAATAATATGTTATATTATCAGTAATATCATGGTTTATAATATTCTATATACATTAATACATTATATTATATACTGTCGTATATTGTAGACAGTCGTCAAAATATTATTTCATATATGTAATAGAGGTGGGAACATTTTAAATTGTAAACTATTGACATAGGTCAGTGAAGCATATGTGCTGAGACAGCGATAAGATTACTATATAACACCGCCGCACGCGCAGGCACGAGGGGAGAGTCCCGTTGTCGCTGAGTGAATCAGCGAGGACGTAGGTACTGTGGTCGTACGTGTGAAACGTCGATCGTAGTACGGGCTAGGCAATCCGAATTTGCTAAGTGTTTCATTTATGTTTGTTTTAATATAATAAAAGTGTTTCCGACCTAAAAACCCGAGTTGAGTTTTATTTCAAAGTCTTCTTCGTTCTTACCTTTAATATTGGAACAGTGCTCAGACCCACACACCTATAGTCAATGAGGTTTATTACAAACTGAACAGTGCTCTGGTTGTGGCGTCCTAATAGTCATTCCAATTTAGGAAACGAACGAAGAACTGACAAAACGCTACCATCGTACCTCAAAGGTTAACAGTGCTAATCTGAATTTATTCTAGAGACAGTCATTAGCCTAGAGCGTACGAGGGTAAGGTAAAAAGTTGGTTTACCGCGTATTATCCAATACGGGTGATACCACAGAGTGGCTCCCAACGGGGTTACTTATCCACGGTCGGAGACATTTTTTTGATTTTTTTGTGCCCTGGTAC